TCGTGTACCATAACGACCCTTACTGGAAAGCTAGTTCCGAGGGGATTTGCACAGTGGTAGCTAATGCCTCTAGAAAACTATCCAACATTGAATCGATTCACGAAATTGCGTAAGAGCTTCAGGCTGAAGCAGTTACGGTAGGCCTCCTTGAGCTTGACGACGATGACAGATGACGTCATATTCTGAAGACGGTGAGGGCAGTGAAGGAGGGCCTGCGTCTACTTATAGAGGGACATTTAGGGAATATTTTGCTGAGGAACTTCCGTCAACGACGGCAATCTCTGCGAAGAAAAAAGGGCCGAATGGCGAACGGTTCGCCCCTTGTATAGCTGGACACCCTCTTGACTCACATCAAGCTTTTGATGCGCCATCATTCGAAAATCGTGTCCCGTCGTTGTTCTGTCCTAATCCGATCGACTCAACCCTCCAGCTCAACTAATTTGTTTGATTGTAGGGAAAGGATCTATTTGAAATAGGGGTGCGGTATTCAATAGAACAACATACGAATACAGATCTCAGATGGCAAGAGACATGCCTTTACGAGTTTGCAAATTCCGAAATTTTGTCATATACTGTCCTCACCCCTCTCCCTGCTTTAGATTTTTAGGGCGAAATTCCGAAATTTGGTAAGATGAACCAGATTCAACGACCTGTGGATACCATCGATCGTAGAATTGGGATGATGCCGGAGACAGCTCCACAAAACGGTGGTCCAATTTCAAATTCTAATGGTTGACCCTACCTCAGTCCCGCGATTATTCCGTTATGACAGCTACAACATTACATGAAAAACTTTGAGTAAAACATGACCAATAGTTTGAAAGGTCGAGGGAAAGAAATTTGCAGAAAAAGCAAAAAATTCAATGCCTGAAAACCCGACTGCAAACGTTTCTATGGTTCCAAGAGAGATTAGATGAAGACAGGAGAACGGCGAATAAAGAAAACTGAAGAGGCAGCAGTTTTTAAATCTCCAGTAATGAAATGTTTTACAACTGGCCACTCTTCAAAAAAAATCTACAAACGCTTAGAAAATTGAAAACTGACAAAAAAAGAAGTTGGGCAAAGAAATGGAAAAACCGGTTTCAATGCACCCTGCGTGGTACACGTCCCACCTGCGGTTTTAGTTGATGACAAGAACTGAGCACTGTTAGAAATAGTGTTTATTGTTTATTTTTTCGCTCTCGCTTTTGATTTGTTTTTTCTTTGTTATCATGTTTTTGTCGAGAGTTCCAATGAAAAACAGCAACTAACAAAACAAACGCCATTTAAAACAAAAATTGAATTCACCTTGCACATGATGCTCGAATAAAAATTTCGCTCGCCAGGCATTTACGTCTGAAATAGACAACGGAGCGTGTCTATGGAATCGCAGCATATTTTACCTCCGCATGCAAGGAGTGGTGTTAGAAAATAACATTAAAAGGAGGAAGGTGTCGTGCAAGAACGTCATGATTGACCCTCTTTTACACAACCTCGAGACACGCCGCCGAGAGTGGACTGTAAATCGAGTTTTAAAATGAGGAACTGATCTCATCCTACTTTCTATTTGACTGCTAGCTAATATGCCGTTAGACAGCTGCTCATGTTGGAGATGGCGATCGGTGTGAGATCGGTGTGAGAGCCTCAACGATGACACTTGTTTCAATTTTCGAAAGCCCCTCAAATAGGCATCGAGATAGAAGGAACATGATGCACCAAGGTCAGCTCTAAATGTCAAATTTCCGGAAGAACTGTGCCATAACTATCTCACTGTACCGAAACGCAAAGTGAATCAGTTGTGCTTCGCTTTTCGTCCCCACGAATATGCTATCCATCGATCTGCTGTTTCGTTCAGCGTGTTATCACCAGTTATTTGAACAAGCCACTTCAGCAAATAACGTGTACGGCATGATAATCCCATCTGAACATCATACAATAAACAATCTATTACTAACAAACAACATTCGAATTGACCAACAACAAACCAATTAACAATAGAAATAAACAAAACCCACTTGCAAGATTCGGAGCTGTGTGTAATCCTACATGCCGGAGATCATATATTGATCCACTTCCAGTGTCATAGAGAGGTAGCAAAGCCCGAAGCGAAGCCATACCCGTAGAGAACAGCTTTGAAGCTCGTTCGACACCATGGCGAACTTTCAGCTCCAGTGCTGAAGATGAAATATTCGAGTAATTCGAAGCCACACCATGAACAGAAACATATAGAAAAAACCCAGAGCTAATTGAAGGTCTGCTAAAGATCCAGGGAATTTACAACAGCGCTTAATGACCATGATAAATGTTATATTACGAATTCGGATTTCACAGACCAGACGATCGGTTATACCAAACGCATTCCGAATGCTGCAACGAATTAGAAAGTTCGTTAAGCCAAAATAATTGGAACTTCCTCGTAATCATATTCAACGTCTCAATGCCTTCAGGCAAACAAAAAATTACTTATGCATATGAGAATTTGAGAAAACACAAATTATTTCATTACCACTCAAAATTAGTTAAAAGTATTGGATCGAAACTTCCTCTTCAAATATAGGTTTCGATATTACGCTAGATATATACAGCTAAAAATAGCTCTATACTAATGAAAATCGTGCACCTCAAGTAGGAGGGAGCACTTGAGTAAAACACTCATGAGAATATGTGACAGGCCATGTACCACTCATAAATGGACAAGATTGCCAGTACCAATGATACTTGGCTACTAAATTACTATTTGCTGAGATAAGTGAGTTCAGCTGTTTCTATTCTAAGAACAAAATTGCCCAATAGAAAACAAATGTCAAAAAAATGATTAAAAGTTAAAAGTCTACATAGAAGTCACCTTCATCACCAAGTTTGACATTTTTGAAGTCGTACAATCCGATCAGTGAATAAATGAACCCGTTTAGAACATAGCTGCCCGGAGATGTAGGATATTCTTCATACCAGTCATTCCCGAATAGTTTATTACGGACACCACCTGCGGAAGCATCCTAAAACGAGAAATAATTAAGTATAAGTATACCAAGGATAGACCAAGTGCTACAGAAAGAACTTTAGAGCAAACCTTCTCAAATAAATCGAGAGCCTTGCTGGCAACAGCAAGGTAGGTAGCGTTCTTTGTTGCGGCGTAAGCACGTGTGAGAAGAGAAAGAGCATGACCCTAGAAGTTGGTTATTGAAACGAAATAAAGTAGCACTAACGATAAGACTTTTCTGTCAGAATTTCAAATATATCAGAACTACCTGAGCCATGGCTGAGTACCAGCCAGCATCAAGCACAAGTCGACGTTCAGCAATGGCTCGTTCTACAGGAACTGCCCA